GGTTAATAAATGTCACAAATAACTCTCTACCAAAGTTATTCATGTAATGAGTAACTTTGAGCTAAGAACTACATCACGTACCTTAGTTTGGATTTCACCTAACTTAATAGCCATATTGACTTTGGCCTTCTTCAAGTAGAGACATTCTCTCGAAAAATATCCTACTTCACCGCAATTGAAGAATATGTTGTTCCCTATACTTAGTAGATTTCGCCTTTTTATCAGTGAGTTTGTCCCTTTTCACTTGACTCCCCTACATACTTGCTCGCTAGCCACCAAATCTACCTTTCCAAAACCTTGAGGATTCATTCTTAAAGAAACTCTTCCTGAATTTCCCTTTGCCATATGTCCCCCTTGGTTTGGCTCCTTTGCTAAATGTGGACCCTAACCTCGTTGTGTTCCCCTTTCGCAAGTTATCATTGAAATGCATTTTAATAGTTGCATCCAATGCTTCCTTATAGTTGGTTTGGTTACAATGCATCACCTCACCTCAAGTCCATATCTATAAGCTTGATATGAAGGCATGGAATACATCTATATCACCCATATTCGTGACAAAGATCCTCTTTGTTAAAAATGCATTCTTTGGGCTTGTGAACTTGTCATCACTTGCATCTTGAGTAGAAATATATCCCTCACTATCATTTTCTTCAACATAATGTTTCCCCTCATCCATTGGCACAACATTAAAAGCAGTCTTAGGTTTTTTATTAGAGGGATTGCTGAGCCTTGAGAGAAGGAGGCATCATATAGAATCCTCATATCCATTGTTGTGCCTCAAAGTAGTAGTAGAATCCTTTTTAGTTTGCTATGCCAAAAGGAAACCCAAACATTATAACAGGATTAAAGCAAATAGAAAATTGTCATAAATCTGCTTACCAAAGTGAGCACAAGCTTTTAATCCCTATAAACTCCAGTTCTTCAACTGTAATATACAGCATATATTGGATAGTTTTGCCCTATGCTTGGAAACCCTTTTTACAAATTTCAAAATTTAAAACAGTTATGATTGAAAAGTGTTGAAAGTGAGTAAAGTTTTTTCTACCTATACTATACCAAGTAAAGTTCTTGCCCTTGCTTGCAAAACAGTGACAAATAAATAGAACAAAAAATGTAGAGAAGAGAAGGAGATAAGAAGAATGAAAAGAGAATAGAAGAGAATTTAGCCTCAAACCCTAAAGGCATGAGTAAGAATAATCATATGTCACTCTCTCAACTCTACTTTGCACAAATAATCATAAGCGGGAGAAAAAATGGTTAATTCAATACAAATGCATACAATAGTGAGTAAGGGTTATTTTTCAGCACGTTTAAGTGCTACTTATATACTACATGATTTTATATTCATTTCTAACTACTTAATAATGAACATTGACTAAGTCAAGTCTTCTTCTTTGGATGCCTAATCTTAGGTGTAACTCCATTTTGCCTAAGCCTTCTTCTTTTGCCCTACTTGAGAAGATACACAAGATAAAACATTTACCTCTTCATTAGCTCTTCTCACCTAAATGTTATTACATACAATTGCAACTTCCATATTGTCAAATCTCCTTCAGCATGCTGCTCTTAGGAGAACTCTTGGTCCAAATATCAACACTACACACCTTTGCATAGTACACAATCCAAGTATGAGCCTCACCAATTCATGGAATTGGTTGGAGACTAGGGCTATGATCAACAACATGAGCATAAAGTGAGTGGTTAAACACCATTAACCTAGGACCATCTACAAAGTTGTTGCTATATAGAAAAAAGTGCTATAGTTTAGTTGTTTCACTATAAGCAACTAGTAGAGGAAGGTGACTTCCATTGCAATATAAACAACTAGTAGGGGTGAATAGGTCAAATCCCTACTAAAACATTCATAGTGATTTCTTATGTTCAACCTACTTTTGAGTCATATGCAAATCTTTTTAAGCATCATGATATGAAATTAAAGCATTGAGAGAGCTAGATTGAAAATCAATAGCAACAAAGGATAAACTCAATAGGATGCATTAGAGACATGACTCTAAACAATAGTTCACTTACACTTGCTGTGAACACCATGTTAAAATAGGTGTGCCAAAAAATGATAATTTGGTTTATTTGCTATGAGCAACAAGAGTAAGAGGTGAGAATATAATGCTTTAGAAAAAGTAGTATGGTATGCAATTTGGTCAATTGTCCATTTGGTTTGCAACATTAACAACTTGCTTGAATGCATGGGATGAATGGGTCTATGGGGCCATAAATGGCATTCCACACATAGCATGGGCCCCATCCATGGCATAAGGAATGGATATTCATGATATACTATACCTATGTTTTTTCCACACTGATATTACATATGGACCAATAGCAGCCAGACACATGTTGTGAGTGAAATAGAATGCTTTATTTTCTACCCTTTTACGAATTGCACACCATAAGATTTAGGTTCCTAGTGGAAAAATCACTTGGTGAGATGTCATGGCAGCTCTCACTAATAATACCTTGAATCAAGCTGAATCATCCATATGCTTCAAAGACCAAGCCAAAATCCAAGGAGACCACATACCCACACTGTAAAAAGGCCAATTATGAAGAAGATTAAATACCCCTCTTATGCAAAATTGAAGTTTCAAAAAGCCAATTTAGATAGAGCTAAAGTTTGTTCATTCTTTCCTAAGTATGATTTAATATTTACTTGAGATTCATGTTTGTTTAAGATGTTCTTGTAAGCACTAAGATCTTTAGACTCAGAAGATCTGCTGCCAGAACAACACCAATGACACTTCCAGAATAACCCCTCATGCTCATCATCAAAATCAAGTCGGGTATAGAGTGCTGGAGCAACAGCAAGATTTTATTGCCTTGGGGGAGAAATCCTCCCTCATTTGAATCCACTATAGAAAAAAAGAAATCCATTCATACTGAAAATCTCAAGAATGACAAAAATGAAGTTTGTTGTGGGTGTTATGGCATACATGGTCATAATTGTATCAATTTCTAGTTATAAATGTAATATTAGAAGTATTTTGCAATATCTAAAAGTTCAGAGGGTTTAGATTTCACTTCGTGGTTATCCTATGGTTTTTTTTTTCTTGCAATTTTAAAAATTCTAAGGGGCTTTTATGAAATTTTCCCTTTATTTTATTGAGATAGGAATAATGATATTAACTGTTGTCCAGATATTCTTAGCACCTGTGATATTGGAATTAAATCCGGTATTTTAACTTTATATGAATTTGCATACTGATAATCTCAGATGTATTGTTGAGGTTACAAATATATTTCATTTGGATATGGTGATTGATATTAATTATCAGAATGATGATATTAACATGTGACATTTTAATTGGTTTGCAGCAAGTGATCATGTGATAAAGAAAATACATTATTATAAGTTTAAAAGCTATAATAGTGGTGGTATACTTGGAAATGAATATCATTGTGAAGGTCTAGCACTGTTTATCAAAATCCAAGAAATCATGTCACTTGGGATGAAATGCATTATACTCAACATTTCTATGAGGCATCATTTAATTTGTTCTGCATGGCAATTTTACCCTCTTAACTTTGAAAATGGTTTAAGTGAATTATGTGATTTAGATAATTCTAATAAAATCTTAAATTCTCGGGTCCATAAAATTTAGATCGGTTCCTCCAGTTGGAGATATCCTCTATAAAACGTTGCGATGCCCCCATGGAGTTGAAGCTTAATCCAGCTTCTTTGCCTAGGATCATCACAGTGCAATCATTGGCGTGAGGTTGTCCACTATGAGTGACTGCCTCAATATGGCCTTGAAGTTGGCCATTGTTTAAGGCTTTCTCTCGATGTATGGACTGGTTTCTGAAGATCGATTAGTTTATCCTCATGTATAATTCTTCAAAGAACTTGATAATTCACGTTTGACATTGTCAAATACAACGATTTATTATTCTTTTTCTACTCTGCTCGCGAGCTTGACTCTTCATGGCAAAGTTTTGATCAAGCTTCGCCATGAAGAGTCAAGCTCATAGTGATATAAAATTAGAGACTGCCCAAGGTATCCATGGAGTCTCATTCTTCGTTTATCATTCTAAATTCCAGAGACGAACAGCGCTTGTCTGTGTTTGACACCAACAAGGAGGAGTGGAATGAATGGCCAATGCGCCACGCTCACGACCATTTGCAGCTCTCTTGCCCCTCTTCTCGCTTGCTGTGCTTCACCCAAGGTACGAGCATCCATGTCTATCACGCACAAACAAACCAGTGCTTGGAGCTAGCAAATATTCCAAGTGATCGTATCAAAGAGGGCTTCTTCCAGATCTGGCACTGCTCCTTGTGCCCGGATAATCAGAGCTTGGAGCTAGTGATATACGACGAAGTAGAGCGCGAGGTGCTTTTATACAACTCGGGCACTGGAGCTCTGGACCGAAAGAACAAACTCGATAGTGGCGAGTTGGAGCTCTTGATGGATGTTTGGCCTGGTTGGAACAGCAACACAGCCTACCTCCTCTACTGTTGTTGCGAGCTAGCCACTTACGATCTGGCAAGCCATGAATTGTCCTTCGCAAAGCTGGAGATCCCGGAAGGTTGTATCTCGGATGCTTCTCTCGACTTAAATATGTCGGTGGTGGCGTGCAAGAACAACGCATTCATGGTAAGCTATCTACTGGTGGGAGATTGTTATCATGGGGAATTCGATCACATTGGTATATGGAAGCTGGATGGGGAAAAGTGGGAACTGGTATCTAAAGTTTCACACTCGGATGGGTACGATGACGAGGAGATGTTGAAAGTGGAAGAAGAATATGAGTGGAGATTTAGTTGCTGCAGCGATGGATTTGACAAGATTTGTATCGCTATTGACAAGTGTGAGTTCATGTGGATGTATAGTGTGGAAGCCGACGCATGGAGAAAACTTCCAAGCTATCCTCAGGCTAAAACTAAAATGCTTGACAAGATCATGTTCTTCTAACAAGCTAGAGCTGGAATAAATTCGCAATTTGCTTTGAAAGAAGGGTAGGGTTCTTCATTCTTTTCTTCTTGAGAATGCGTGCTTGGGTAAGGATCGTTTCTAGAGCTAGTCTCGAGTTTTATCTCACTCCTCTAGACCAGAGCTGAATGAGGGCGATCTTCTGGGGCATTCTATGCCGGCGCTCTTGTGCTTGTAGCTCGGAGGAAGTAAGCAGAAGAGTCTCCAAGGAAGACCATACACTCGTGAGCTTTTCTTCTTTTCTTTGCTTTCTTGTAAGAAAGATGATGTTTCTATACTCGAGCAGGCTATCTGGAGCTCACCGAGACGGTGGTGGCCGAGGCCAAGCTTTCGCGATGAAGAGGTTGGAAGTCTTTGTTATAATTCTTGCGAGATAACAGAAGATTTTCGGCTTAAACCAGGCACGGGCATTCTCCTCTCCGGATTGAAGGCATGCAGCAGCCTGAGAGACCTCGAGCTTGGCCACAGACTTCGCAGAAATGCTCTCGAAAACAAGCACATCTACGTCGCCAACTCGCTCGCAAACATGTATGCCAAGTGTGGCAACATGCCGGAAGCTTTCTCGGTGTTCCACGCAATGCCTCGTCGCAACCAGGCATCGTGGAACACCTTGATAGTTGGATACGCAGAGAATGGAGAGAGCGGCACAGCGCTGGAGGTTTTCTCTCGCATGGAAGAGCCGCAAAGGAACGCTCTCACTTTTGTGGCGGCGTCCATGGCTTGTGCGAGCTTGGCAGCGCAGGAGGAGGGCCGGCTCGTGGATGGAAGCTTGGTGAAGTTGGATTGCCTGGAGAGAGGCATGGAGGTCCACTCTTGCGCGTCCAAGGCTGGGTGTGACTCGGAGCTCTTGGTGGCGAGCAGCCTGGTTGATATGTACGCGAAGTGTGGGAGCATGGCGAACGCTCGCAACGTTTTCAGCTCGATGCTTCACAGGGACGTGGTTTGCTGGACGAGTTTGATCCAGGGATACGCAGAGAATGGACAGGGCGAGGAGGCTCTGGATTTGTTTTCAGCCATGTCTGGCGAGTGCGAGCCAAATGCCCGGACTTTCGTGGCCGTGCTGCTCGCCTGCGCGAGCTTGGCTTCTCGAGAAGTTGGCCGGATGATCGCAGATCATGGGAAAGCTAGTGTGAAAGTCAGGGGCTTGGAGATTGCAATGGCTACACACTCGAGAGCTGCGAAGATGATCAATTGTCTGGAGCTGGACGTTTTCGTGGCGAGCAGCTTGGTAGATGCCTACGCAAAGTGTGGGAGCTTGGTGGACGCTCGCATGGCGTTTGATAGAATGCGGCACAGGGACGTGGTTCTTTGGACTTCTCTGCTGCTCGGCTATGTTGACAATGAAGAGTGCGAGCTGGCTCTCGAGCTATTCGAGTTTATGGTTGCCGAAGGTTGTGAACCGGGTGCTCAGAGTTTTGTTGCTGGATTGGTGGCATGCGCGAGATTGGCAGTCGAGGAAGAAGAAGAGACCACGCAAAGTATAGAAGGAAGGCGAGTGAAACTGACAAGCCTCGACAAAGGAATGGCGATCCATTCTCGAGCTCACACAAACTTGGGCTGTTGCGACTCCAACGTTTTCCTGGGAAACACGCTGGTGGACATGTACTCCAAGTGTGGCAGCCTCCTCGACGCTCGGATCGTCTTCGACCGGATGTTCCACCGCAGCATCGCGTCCTGGAACGCACTGATAGCAGGGTATGCTGAGAACCGAGAAGCCGAGCTCGCGCTGGAGCTCTTCTCGCGGCTCGAGTGCGCTCCAAACGCGGTAACTTACGCTGCCGCGCTGCTGGCCTGCACGGAGCTGGCGACTCTAGAGTCCGGGAAGGCAATCCACGCTGCTATCATCCGCTGCGCGCTCGAGAGCGATGAATTGGTGGCGAACAAGCTGGTGGATCTCTACGGCAGGTGTGGCTGCATGGTGGACGCGGAGATCATCGTTTCTACGCTTGGAGAGCCGACGGTAGTGGCTTGGAACGCACTGATAGCAGGATATAGTCGCCAGGCCGAGGCTTCGAGCCGGGCTTTTAGCGCGTTCCAGAGGATGCGAGAGGAAGAATCAGTGGCTCCAAACGAGGTAACGTTTCTTTTGGTTCTCACAGCTTGCAGCCATGCCGGTTTAGTCGACATGGGCCAGGCTTGCTTCGATGCCATGGTTTCTACGTACAAACTCACGCCTGGTATCGAGCACTATCACTGCTTGGCTGATATCTTTGGCCGTGCGAACCAGCTCGAGAGAGCTGTGGAGATTGTGACGAGCATGCCTTACAAGGCCACCTCGGTCAGCTGGAAAACAATCCTGGCCTCGTGTCGAAAGTGGCGGAATGTAGAAGCTGGGAAGTTTGCGTTTGATTCGCTACTTGCGCTTGAGGTTGATGGTCACAAGACTGCGGCATTTTTGCTCATGGCGAGTTTGTATGGGAGCCTTGATATGTGGAAGGAACAAGCCAAAGTGCTCGAGGCCAGGAATATGCTCTTCGTAGATTCAGAGAGAGAAAAATTTGGAAACAAAGAATGATCCTGAATTGAGTCGATTCAATCGAGGAATAGAGAAAAATACCAGACGTGTCTTGACCATTGTCCATGTGTTTTGTGTGAGCTCAAGACGATACAGCCTTGATTATCGTAGAAGGTTTATAAGAGGATGCTGACTTTAGGAAAAGTACATCGGATGGCTGAAAGGAATTTTTCGGTTGTGGTACTGCTTCCTTTGGCTTGAGATCCTGCACGCTTCAAGGCTTTAGCAACTCAGACTGGGCGGGATGTCCTACAATCTGGTGGAGCAGTAAAAAACACACTGTGGCAGCGACTGTGAGTTCAGCCTGCCTTGCCTAGGAATTGGCTTACCAGGCTCACAGAGTAAGCAAGGTGCAGACCACAAGATACGTAAGGCTGCCAATGGCACTGCAATAAAGTACAGCTGCCCATCTTGTTTTTCTCTTGCTCTGTAAAAGGAGAATTTTCACGAGAGAGTTTCAAACCTACGACCATCGGTGTTGGAGCAGGAGAGCATCGCTCCATGGAAAATTGTTGGAGGATATCCTTGATATACTTGTTCTGGTGAAGAACGAGAGAGCTGTCATGGCGGTCAAGCTAGATCCCGAGGCAGTAGTGTGCCTTTCCTAAATCTTTCATCTCAAAGTGAGAAGAGAAGATCTTGACTTGATCTCAGCCAGAAAACTTGCACTGTTGCAAACGAGCAAGGAATCATCAACATAAACAGCAATATAGATTGTGTCCTCTCCAACTTTCTTGTTTTTGCTTCTGAAAAATCCACTTGTGAGTAAAGTCTTCAAGCTTTTTGTACCACTGGCAAGAAGCTTGTTTCAATTCATAAATTGCCTTGTTGAGTCTCCAGACATGGCTTTCCCTTCCCGGAACTTTGTAGCCTTCTGGCTGCATTTCTTCCTCAAGTTCTCCATTGAGGAATGCAGCCAGCAATGTACGGATTGTGGTCAGTTTCACCACATATGCAAAGGTGTCAGTGTAATCAGTCCCAGTTACTTGTTATGGAACAGTCTGGATTTGTGGGAATCCACATGGATTTCACCAGCTTTCTGCCAAGAGGAGCTTTGGAGACTAGATAAAAAGTGTGATTTTTGACAAGAGAAGTGTACTCTTCATCAAAATCCAAATGCCACTTTTCCTTGTCTTTTGAAGCCATAGCCTCACCATAGCTGTGTGGAATGTGAGAAAGTTCCACCCTAGCAAGTAAGGTTTGAACCAAGGACTCTGGTGCATCTTGGACGGCAGCAAGCATCGTCTCAATAAGCTGGTTGAGCGTCTAAGAACTGGTGGTTCTTGTGGCTGTGCATCTGGTTGTGGCAGCACAGAAAATTGAAGGTCACCAACCTGGAATGAGTGGTGGATTGTCTCCCGAAACCATAGCGCCAGGTGCAACAACGCTTGCTGGTGCTGGAAGAGGTGGCTGAACCATGATTGGAACAATGTGGGAGTGAACAAGACCACACAGCCGCGACGGATCGTCACGATAAACTCATACATTTAACCGTCGTAACTACACCGTTCATAATACCACATAGCAGCGAACGATCTAATGGCAAGAGGACAGTGACAGAGGAAGAATCAAAGGGGCCAGGAAGGAACCCTTGGCTCAGGAGCGCGTGAGGGCCTTGGCAGTGCTGGTGCGAGTGGAGCGGAAAATCCAGGAGCGAAAGTGCCCACAAGTTCTTTGCCCAGCCTGCAGGAAGGTGTGCCCTTGTTGTGGCCGAGTTTTTCACTCCATTCTAAATTCTCCGTTTAATCTATGCTTACGCAGCAGGAAATTCTGGGGGCTGGGAAAACGTTCACGGGACAGAATTTCTCCACCTGAACAACAAAAGTACCCTTTTGGCCAAGGATTGCTGGCCTATACGACTCAACGTCCGGCTGCTGTGAATGTAACCCAATGGCTCGACTGGGATTCCAGGAACCGAAAAGCACTCTCAGTCATTGGGTTAGGTCTTGGGGATGAATTCGTTCATCTCCTTGATCTCAGCAAAAACAGCCCACCAGAACTGGACATCCCCTACACAAATCTTGGCTGCAAAAGCTGCCAGCTAAGGTCATGCTAACACAAAGGTTCTTTATGCTGAGAATGCAACCCGATGACATGATGGCCACTTACACTGGAAAGTTTACATGATGATCACTGAGCTGAAGGATGTAGAAGCAGTAATCACCATTGATCAAGCTAAGGCATTCCTACTCAGCTCTTTCTCCCTTGAACTCCACACTTACACTGGAAAGTTTACATGATGATCACTGAGCTGAAGGATGTAGAAGCAGTAATCACCATTGATCAAGCTAAGGCATTCCTACTCAGCTCTTTCTCCCTTGAACTCCAACCTTTCACATCAATGCTCTTAGCTGTGCCTGGAAAGGACTTGGACTTACTCTATTCAGACTTGATTGAGGAAGAATGCAAGCAGAACGAGTGGAAAGGCAAAGTGCCCTCTAAGGCTGCTTTACATGTGAAGTAAGCATTGTTTATTGGTAAGCAATGGAGTGGGAAGAAACAAAAAAAGGCGATTTTGTTTCAATCAAGTCTGAATAGAGTGAGTCCAAGTCCTTTCCAGGCACAGCTGAGAGCATCAATGTCAAAGGTTGGAGTTCAAGGGAGAAAGAGCTGAGTAGGAATGCCTTAGCTTGATCAATGGTGATTACTGCTTCTGCATCCTTCAGCTCAGTGATCATTGCTTAAACTTTCCAATGTAAATGGCCATCATGTCATCAGGTTGCATTCTCAGCATAAAGAACCTTTGTGTTAGCATGACCTTAGCTGGCAGCTTTTCCATATGTCCACTATCTATACTATACATTTACTAAACCCCCATAACATTGTTTATAAGCTTCACACACAATTCGCAACAATAGAGCTGGCGAATGATAGCATTCAGCTAAAGCAAGTCTTGAATGAATTGGTCCCTGGATCTAAACAATCAGTGTCAATCAATCGAAATATTTTGACGAGAACGAGCAATGTGTACCTGTCTTGCACCTCCTTGCGATTGATCGATCGCAATGGTGATTAGAGCAAGAGAGTTTCATGAGAGATTCTCCTACCTTGAGTTCTTCCAGCAGTGATCTCGTATTGGCAATCTCCAGGTGCTTGCTCTCCAGTCTTGTCTGCGAAAGAAAGGAGATATTTCAATCGGCAATATTTTCCACCTGTCGCGACTGGATCGTGGCGTCCACCTCGAGGCACTTGAGCTCCTCCTCCGCGGATTTCTTGCGCGCTTTCTTCGTTTCCAGCTCCGATCTTGCGTGCTCCCGTTGCGACATGAGAGCTGTTCTACCTTTGCCCCTCTCCATGGACTTCGATTTCCAGCACTGGAAAGAAGAAATCCTGCTATACCTCCGAAAGACTGATCCCTGGCGCATCCCTGGACGAGGGAAAGAATGCGGCCCTGCTGCGCTGGAGGAGGAGCAGCGGCGCCGCCCGCCATTGCAAGCGCGCGATTTGGCGCCTCAAAAGATTTTTAGGGCTCTTGAGAAGAATGGAGGAAGAAGGCGAGGGTATAGGCGCGCCGGTGACGCGCGCCGAGTTTATGCTCCAGCATCTCCTTGATGGACAGCTCTCTACTTCTGCAAGGTATGTTCGATCGATCGATCGATGGATCGCGCGAGTCTATGGTTTATTTGGCTCACTTTCTTGCTGGATGGATAGATTAGAGCAAATGGAATTCAAGGGCGAGGCATTCACGGGGCTGGAGGAGTCTCGCAGAATTTCGCTCGCAACAGGACGAGGGGGAGATCCAAAAGCCTGAGGTGAATATTTTCTTTCTTTGTTCTGGTAGCTATAGTTTTGTGTTCTTAACATTGATGAAAAATGCAAACGCCAGAGGTATGGTCCAGGCCCGGTGTTCTTGCAAAGCCAAGAGATGGAACGAATGAAGCAAGCTCTTGCTCGAGAGAGCTCCATAGCTGTGAAGCAAGAAATGCGACGCCATTAGAAGGAGCTGGAAATTTCTTTGATCGAAGGAAAGCAAAGATTGCAAGCTATAGCACATCTTACTGTGGAAGGTATTCTTCAGTATTTGTTTTGATCCAGGTGTTTCTCTCCGGAAACCTTTGCCTGAGCTCAGCGTCGTTTGCGCCGGAGGCTGTCGCCAACTTCCTTCCATTCTTTTAATTTTGTTTTATTTTGAAAACTAGGAACGAGCACGAATGCAACCTGGGAAAGAGATTTCGAGATCGTCATCGAAAGTGTTTTCATCCTCAGCTCCACTACTGCCGGATCTAGACACCTATCTGGATGAAACCACTCTGAACGCTATGAAAACTGGGAACGAGGAACACAATCCTCCCATGGTGTCTGAAGAGACTATCATCTCCAACCGGCTTTCTCTCAAGGAGTTGCAGGATGGAAAGTTTCGAAACCACCATCAGGGCGTGCCTTCAAACGTAAGCTCATTCTGTGGCTTAGATCTCCTTGTCAAGCCTGAATCGCTTCTTTCTCAGGTTCTCTGATCTGTGCCCGAGGAGGATCTAGCCGCATTGTTTCTTCGATATAAGAACCAACGAGACGATCAAATTCTTTTCCGACTAATGCAAAAAGGACGAAAAGGATCGAGCCTTTGTTGCATTCCCAGGTTCGCATCTTGTTTGTCACGTCAGCACGTGAAATCTTCAACACGTAGTGGCAGCAACCTGTGCATTGCAACATGGGATACGAAGACCGGTAATCGTGGAATATGCCCGAGGCAAAAAATAACAAGCGCGGGTTAAAATAGATGATCATCAAAATGACCAAAGGTTTGTATTTTCCTTTCCGGTTTTTCCTTTTCTCATGGACCCAGCCACCCAGATCGCTCTTGCAGCGACTCTGGGCAACTTACTCCAGGGCTGGGATAATGGAGCTATCGCAGGTACTCGAGAAATCATTCTTTGCTTTCCCATGCCACCTTACTCATCCAGTGTGATCTTTCTTTCCAGGAGCATTACTCTATCTCAAGCCCGAGCTGGGAATACAAGGGAATCCCATCATTGAAGGCATTGTGGTCGGATCCACGCTCGTCGGGGCTCTCCTTAGCACGATCTTCTCCGGGCCTGGATCAGACTGGCTGGGCCGGCGAGCTATTCTCATTGTCTCGGGGGTTTTCTACACGACGAGCTCTGCTATCATGCTGTGGTCGCCGACTGTGCTGGTGCTGATCTTGTCGAGGTTGCTGGTCGGTTCGGGTCTCGGCATCGCAGTGACAGTGATCCCGATATACATTGCTGAGACTGCTCCTCCTGAGATCCGTGGGACTCTGTCCACGCTGCCGCAATTCATGGGATCGGTGGGCCTGTTCTTAGCCTATTCGCTCTGCTTCTTCTTCTCGCTCTGGCCAACTCCAAACTGGCGGATCATGCTGGCGCTCCTTATGGCACCATCGCTGCTGTTCTTGGCACTGGCGATCCTCTACTTGCCAGAGTCTCCTCGGTGGCTGGTGAGCAAAGGAAAGATGCTGGAAGCTAGGCTTGTGCTCCAGAGGCTGAGGAACAAGACGGACATATCAGGTGAATCCTCTTGGTTTTCGTTCTTTGTTTATACTCACAACTTCTTTTCATCTTTCCAGCGGAGTTGGCACTGTTGGTGGAAGGATTGGGTGTAGGAAGCGGCGGTTCACTGGAAGAATGGGTGCTAGAACCGGCTCCACCGAAGACCAAGAGCAATGGTTCGTCGTTTCTCGCGAATGGATCCAGCCAGCACGTTTTGTATACACCGGAAGATGGTGGAGTCTCGTGGATCGCCAAACCTCTGCTCGAATCCGATCCGACACACAGCAGCTTCTCGCAAGCCGGTGGCCAGTCTCCTTTCGTGGACCCCCTGGTAGCACTCATTGGGAACCTCACCAATGTGAGTGTGGCTCGCGAGCAAGAAAACTACGAGTCCGACGTAGAGAAAGGCGAGGGGGATTTAGAAGAAGGTGGCGAAGAAGCGGTGGTGGGAGAGATCGAGGAGCTCTTAACTCCGTTGCTGCGACGACGTGCGAGCTCAAAGTCTGTGATCACGGCAGGATTCTTGTCCAGGCCGAGCTCCATGCTGGGCGTAACTCACAGCAGCAGCGGCGTGAATGGGACTACGGTTGCGAGCCCGGTCGTGAGCGCTGGCATCGGTAGCGGCTGGCAGCTTGCTTGGGAATGGGATAACCAGGAAAGAGGAGGACCATTGTCAGCGACCAAGAACACCAACATGGACTTTCGACGTGTTTTTCTTCTCCAAGAGGGTGCTGCTGCTGCTGCCAACATCTCTGGGAGTCTTTCTGTATCAGCGCGTTCTCTGCCGGGCATGGTCGAAGATGGTGGTGGAAACGCCGTCGTCGATCAGTCAATCCAAGCCGCGGCTTTGATCGGCAGGCCGGCTCAGTCATTCCACAACCTCGTCTCGGACAAGGTGGTCGGCCCGGCGATGGTTCATCCTGTCGAGACAGCCATCAAAGGCCCGGCGTGGTCGGATCTGCTAGAAGTTGGCGTCCGCCGCGCGCTCGTCGTGGGTGTTCTTCTACAAATCCTCCAACAGGTACGTGGAAAGAAAAAGTTTGCCATACTATTGCGATCATGGATTGTGTATTTGTTTCGCAGTTCAGTGGGATCAATGCGGTGCTCTACTTCGTTCCCCAGATCCTCCAGCAGTCCGGGGCCGATGAGCTTCTAGCACGTCTGGGACTCGGCTCGGCGTCAGCCTCGATTCTCGCCAGTGGCGTCACCTGCTTGATCATGCTGCCGTGCATCGGCCTCGCGATGCGTCTCATGGACGTGAAAGGAAGAAGGTAAGCCAACTTTTCATAGTTTCCTTCGAACTCTGTTTCTCGATCACGCACAGGCAAATACTCCTCGTCACGCTTCCAATCCTCTTCCTCTCGCTGGTCACCATGGTCATCTCCAGCACTCTCGTCCCGGCTGGGATCCTCCAGGCAGCAGCGTCCTTCGTCGGCGTCACAGTCTACGTTTGCGTTTTCGTGATGGGATTCGGACCCATCCCAAACATCCTGGGCTCGGAGATCTTCCCGACTCGAGTTCGCGGCCTCTGCATTGGGATGTGCCAGGCCTCGATGTGGACTTGCAACATCATCCTCACCAACATGTTCCCGACGCTCCTCGGGGTGCTGGGAATCGGGGGCTTGTTTGGCTGCTTCGCGGTGGTGGTGTTGGCGGCCTGGATCTTCACCCTGTTCAAAGTTCCCGAGACCAAAGGCATGCCGCTGGAGGTGATCTCCGAGTTCTTCGCGATGGATGCCGCCAGCCAAGATCACTCTTTGAAACTTTGATCGTGAGAAGTTCTTTGTATGACTTTGGATTATAGAAGCTGCTTGTAACAACATCACGAAGAATAGTTTCTCTTTTTTTCTTGATCTGCCACCATTCTCACATGTCAAAGCCAAGTATTTCAATGTTTAGAAAAAGAAAAGAAAAGTACCAAATAAGTGATAGTCGAGTGCCTTGTTGCATACAAACTCGTAAACGAGCATTCTCTTGCCATCCTCGACGCAAAATCTTAGCAAAGTTACCAGGTTTCGGTGCTGTGCTCCACTCAGAACCTTGACCTCTGCACAAAACTCCTTCCCTCGGGTGCTGGCGAGCTTGTGTTGCTTCACGGCAATGTGTTGGCCACCTTTGAGAACGCCGTTGTACACAAATCCAAGTCCTCCCTCGGCCAGAAAGTTGGCCTGCGAGAAATTGTCTGTCGCCTCCTCGAGCTCAGCGTACGCAAACTCTCTCGTCTGTCTCTTGAAATCGCGGGGCTTGCGCTTGCAAACCGAGCAAAGTGGCAGTGCCGGGCTCCCGAGTTTTGGGAAGAGCGATCACTTCACCAGTCGTGTTACTGTGCATGAGGATCGTGTCGCAGTCCGAATCCCCTCCGGAGGATGGAAAGCGGCAATTCTTTCCATCCAGATTCATAGCAAATTAATTAAGAGGACCTAAAAACAGAAGAAGAAGAAAAAAAAAACTGTCTAGACGAAGATCTAAAAAGAATATATATAAAAAAAACCAAAGTTTAGATACGTTTAGATCCTCGCATGCCTTTTGAATATCACTGAGAATTACAGTTTTTTTACAAATTTCTTCATCCTGGTTGCCAACGAGAGACTGCTTCTGGGGCACTACAACAATAAATATCAAAATAAAAGGCAAAAATGAAGAGAAAAAACTTATTGAATTTTGCAATTCCTGTGACTGTTTGCCGTAAAATCCCAAGATGTGTCAAGACGTCCCCAGGCTGAAGAATTCTCTCCAGCGTCCACTCCACAGCGATGCTTGACGTCTCCCCCAACGCATCAAAAATTACCATAATGTTTCGATTAGAAGTAGTAGCAGCAGTAGAACTAGAAGTAGAGGAAAAATGGTCAGGCACAGGTATGGCTGTGTTGCTCGGCAAAGGAACGCTAGACAAAGATTTTCCATCAATTTCTTCTTCCTATCTCCCTTTGATCTTAGATCTTGTGATAGATCTTTGCTTGAATTCTCCTCTCTCATTTTTTTTGGGGGTGGGGGGTGATCCTGGAATCCTTGCTTGGGAGAAGAGGAAGAGATTCTAAGATTCTAACGCCGGGGATTCCACAAGTATCGAGCTACACAAAGAGGTAAGAGACAAGGGAGCATCGGGATTCCCGCCCACTGGCTGCTTATAGCTTTACACGCGTGTAAATTTGAAATGGCGATGGCGGGAAATGGTATTCTAGGGTTTATAGAATGGGCGAGGAGGGAGCTCGAGGAGTACCGGCGGCGGCACGACGATGGCGCGGCGGCGCCCGGATGGGCGTGGATGATGGCGTGCGTCTTGTCGTGCTGCCAAGCTCATCCCCGCGGGGTCACGGAAGGGATCCTTCTCGCGGAGCTCTTCCAGGTGAGGATTTCTCGCTCGGTTCGAGGGATTTTTGAGGAATGTAGGTGCTGTTTGTGGATGATAGACCTGGGGCGAGAGGGAGCGCGGCAGAGGCAGAGGGAGGCTCGCGGAGAATCACCCGGTGATGCAAATGAAGAGGAGGAGGGGGGCTCGGTATCAGCATTTGGCCAATGCTGTGACTGTCGACTCGATTCTGGAGAAGAAGTTTGTTTCTCTGGATGCCGTGATGGAGGTCGTTGTTCTGGACATCCACGTCTTGCCTGGTAAGCTCATTTAGCTTGGATTCTCGATTGATTGGAAAGTTTCCAGGGAGCAATGGCTATCTTCTTACGCTTGGAGATCTTTCCAGCGGGAACACAGTCGACCACTATCTGCACCGAAAGTAAGCCAAGAACTTCTGGTATTCGTCTTTACCTTCTTTTGTTGATGGCTTCTTTTGTTCATAGATTTTTTGACATGGTACAAGATGAGGAGGGAACTATTAAGAGAGGTCGAGATCTACGCATGACAGGTTGTAGGCTGAGAGTTGGAGCTGGATCGTGTGCTCCGCGTCTTTTACCCACAGAGCACCTAGTAGTCCTACTTGACGAGGTGCAGTGAATGTTCGAATTTTTGTGAGTTAGCTATTGTTTTCTTCGCAGGACCAAGAACACGATGCAATGCTGCTCGGTGCCCAGTTTCTCTCTGACACTTTCTCGTCTATACAACGTGGAGCTGCCGGAGATCACCATATTTATGCCAAGTAAGTGTTGTTTCGCGTGATCGATCGAGTATGGCTTAATCACTTTGTGACGATAGACTGGAAAAGTCCATGGAGACTGAGACGAACGGCGACAGAAGATGGAAAACAATCTTACTTGTTGATAGTGAGGGAATCACAGTGCCGTTCGTCCTGTGGAATGACCAGGTTTCTATCGCCAATTTGCTAAGGTTTCGTATCAGGCTTTCTGCTTTCGTAGTGAACATGTTTTACGTGATTGCAGTGACGGAAGCATGTTGGCCCTTGAACGACCCTTTGTAAACTATGACACAATGGAGATAGGCCTGGAGTCTGGAACATGCACTCGGATCTATTGTGTGCCGCCCTGTCTTCAACTCGAGCAAGAGGTAAAACTGCGTTTACTTCGGAATAATTTTCTAATCGTTGTCAAAGGTGACAGTGGCGTCTGATCACGAAACATGTCTTGGATCGGAAGTGCTGATTCCAAGCAACCCACACGGTGCTGTTGATCTCAACGATTTCCCGGCTCGTGTATGTACAATGCAAATTTTGTCATTCCTACTGACTGACGTGTGTAACTTACACGCAGCTTCTGGTAAAGGACTTGAGACCAAAGATGTTCAACCTTGCAGTTTATGGTACAGTAGCGTTTGTTGGTCGTCAGATTTCATCTGCTAAGTGTAGGCAACCATTTATACTGTCTATTAACGACGACACCGGCATTATCGAGATTGAGCTTCAGTTCATGCTGGAGAGCTGGTAAAAATGTTTAATTGTTTTTCTTTTAGTTTTGATTTTTTCTGAGAGTGACTTTGGCTGGCAGGTGTTTTGGCCAGGTTTATTCCGGACAACTTGTGTTTATATCGGGCCTTGCTACTTATGCAGACACTGGTGGAAGGTAAAAGAGAAACTATCTGTTCTCCTTAACGATATTTCGTTGCAGGATGAAATGTTCTTGGACCGAGAGCACGGAAGGAGCATCTTTCGTGAACGTTTCCCATCTCACTGCAGTCATCTCTTCCCCGTGTCTTCACAGCATTGTTCCTGTCTCTCGATGGTCTGGCTATGGCCAGGTAGGAGAAATTCCTTTTAAGCTCTCTATTTGACCCGAGAAGATGATATCAGGTGTGCAGAGTAAGGGTCGAAAGAGTGGAGCTCCAGCTTCATAAAATACACGGTGCTTGTGGTCGGCGTGTTACGGATGAAAGTGGCACTTGGTTTTGTTCTTTCTGTACACGCAGTTGCGATCAAGCGTCGCTCTCTTTCCACGCAGACGTCTATCTTTTTGACGTTGGAGAACCAGGCAGGGAAATTTGTGCTAGAGTCGATGGTGAGGCTGCGTTCAATCTTCTTCAAGTTTCTCCTGAGACCTTTCGTACTTGGCCCGAGGTATTTTCTGTTTCTGGACTACAAACTATCACTTTTGAGCTTATTATTCACAGGATGAGCAAGTGATGTACTTACTAAGTTTCGATGGTGAAGAATTCTTAGTGTCTTTTTTTCAGAGTCAAGGTAAACTCTGTATTGGTTGTGCCGTTAAATAGTTAAGCTAGTTGTTTTTTATATTCAAACTTCAAATTGTGAGTAAAAATGTTGTTATCTGTTGAAGTAAAAAATTTAATTCTGGTTGTAAGGTTTTTTAATTTTAAAATTTAAATTTTTGCTACAATTAATTAAAAAATTAATGTAAGCTATTGGGGAGGGATAATTATTTTTCCACAACATATTATGCAATAATATTCACAAAATAATGGTTAAATTTTTTTAAAAATAAATAACAAATATATATTTAAACCAAATTAATATTATTTTCATTGTTTAACTTCATATGCCTTTTAATTTTGTCAACGATATTTAAAAAAAGTGTTTTGGAATGCTATTACAATTGTAAAATGTTTATGTCAATATTATAATGCTAATAGCTGCAATAATAATGTTGTCAATTATAAAAAATCCATTGATCTAAAATTTAGTATAATTTGTAAGGTTTATAAATACATATACATAAATACATACACATAAATACATACATACATATATATATACACATATATATATACATATATACATATATATATATATATACATATATATACATATATACATATACATATATATACATATATATACACATATACATATACATATATATATATATACATATATATATATATGTATGTATATATATATATATATGTATGTATATATATATATGTATGTATATATATATATGTATATATATGTATGTATATATATATATGTATGTATATATATATATATGTATATATATATATATGTATATATATATATATGTATATATATATATATATATATATATATATATATATATATATATATATATATATATATATATATATATATATATATATATATATATATATATATATATATATATATATATATATATATATATATATATATATATATAACTTTGTCAAGGTAATACACTAATTATAATACTAAATTATATAGACCGTCCACTTGAGACTGAATTTAATCCATCCATTGTTGTATATAAACAAGAGTCTAAACCCTAATTATTTTTTTTTTCTATATCCTAACCACTTGAAAAGCATTGCACTTTATCTTTGAAGGGCGAAACTTTTTAACAGTGCTTTGCTCTAGTGTTTAGGATTATTCCTTTTGTTCTTATTTTTTCATTCTCTTTTAGATCTAGATCTGTATTAACTTTTTGCAATATCTAGAATTTAACTATCATTGTGCTTAAATTTGCTTTTTCTTTTGATTTTCATTGCATTCTCTTCTTCTATCATGCCATGCTATCATCAATCAAAGAGTATGCCACTTGAAGCTGCTAATGCTACTCCGTTGGATCAAACTTTTAATGCTGTAGGGTGTAATCACGTTAGTGCTACACCTATCCTTGGTGTGTTGCCATTTTTAACTTTTGTAAGACATGATTATATAACTTATTCTATTCTCGGTGTTTTACCATTTCTCGTTTATGTGGAGCATGATTGTGATATCAATTTGCGAGCTATGGATGATGCAATCTGGTTCTTAAAGAATGTTCAAGGATCGAGTTTATGGGAAGACAATGTGTATAAGCTTGAATGGATTCCAAATCATTTTAACGAATTTGATTATTATAGAGATAGCTTTGGAGATGAAATGGAGATTTCACAAGATAAGTATCAATCCTTCAATGTACTATTTAATCTTTTCTCTTTACCTTCGGTTTTTCCCAACCTTATTTTCTATTTCTAGGCCTAAGCTACCTTCTCATGTTTCTAGTATTTCTTCCTCGTCTGTAGTGTTTTTTTCACCTACCACATTAATCATTTATGACTCTGATAATTCTCATTCTCAATCTAGTGTTGAGTTGAGTGTTTTCTATCCTCCTTATACTAATTTAAATGTTGAGTGTGTGGATGAAGTTGAGAATCTTGTTTTTGTTTCATTGGTAAAGTCTTTAATTAATTCTAGTATTGAGTATTCCTTTATTCTAAAGGTTTATAGTCACTTTAGCTAGAATTTTGGGTTAAATGCATATCCCTACTTGTGAGTGTTGTTGAGAGCCTTTGTTTTACTATTGCTGCTAAAAAGTTTATGTGTTCCCTTGAAATTGTAGACGTTGTTATTGATTTTCTCATCTCAAGTGTTGAATTGTGTGTTGAGAAGATTGAGTAGTGTAAATCTTTTGCTTATATTATGGTGGCTATGATAGGAAATCCCTTATTTTCCAAGTTATAAGCACATGTCCTTCTTTTTATTTCCCCATTTCTACATTGCCAGTTGTTGTAAATTCTTTTTTGACACTTTTTTTATCTATTTTTTCTTCTTCCATAATTTTTTTTCCTCAATTTGTTTTGCTTTCTCCTTTTTGCCTTGACACTTCTACTTTTTTTTTCTTCGAAAGAGGGGGTAAAGGGGATGGACAGGAGTTTGGCCCTAACGATAGAGTAAGGACAAGTGAATATAGTAGTGACGCAAGGATAAACAATATAAATTATGGAGTGAGGATAAGTATAACTAGTATGAATGAAACATTTAATCCTAACATAGTGAAGCCGAACGGATGCGATAATAGAGGCCAAACATAGATGGTGAAGTGAGGACGAGCATAACGAGTATAAACAAAGATAATGCTTCAGATTTTTTTTTTCCTTCGAAGAGGGTAAAAAGGATGTGGAAGATGAATAAAGTGAGTCTAACACTTTATTTCTCTCCCTTTAAGCCAACTGGAAAAAGGGCAATTGCTTGATAAAAGAGCCTTTAGTGGCTATTTTATCAGGGTAAAAGTTTTATATATATATATATAAACTTTACACCATCCTTCCCTCCGGAAGATGAAAAAGTGATGATAATAAATTAGGTGGAACATCTAAAGTTTCTGTTGGGCGATTACAAACTACTAAAAGAATCTAAAGTTCCCACAAAACCACTAACAAAGTTGTTAATAACCATGACTAAAACAAAACTTAAAGCTATAACATAAGCATCAGTCGACTATAGAATTCTGACGAATTAATTGTAACTTCGTATACAACTGCCAAATGATTAAATCAACCTTAAAGCCATAACTTTAAACTAAAGCAAGAGACTTCAAGAACCACTATAGTCCATGAAATACTATTGCAACAACTAATACTTCCCATGTTTAAGTCCGCCCACCAATAATTCTAAGAGACCAACATTAACTTAGACTTAAGACCATAAGTAGAACAACCATTGTCCTCGTCTAGCACCACACATGGGATATTAGTGTAGCATATGTGATTATGGGATGAAATTTAGATATATTGTCACCATGGATCTTTGGAATCTTGGGGGATAAATGGGACTTAAGTAATACACTAACTATAGTACTAAAGCATATAAACAGTCCATTTAGGACTGAATTTAATCCATCCATTCTTGTATATAAGTAGGGGTTTAAACCCTAATTAATATACTTATTCCTTTATCCCAAGTACTCACACTTCAATTTACAAATACAATATTAAAAAATTTATTGGATAATAAATATATCAATAGGTGTTGATGTAAATACTAATAAAAAATATATAAAGAATTGGTATTAAGATATTAAAAATATTTTTTTTCAACATTTTAGACAATTATACTCAAAATATTTTATCTTATTTATTTGACTATGACTATTTGCCACTCAAGCCATATAACATAAAATATTTAACACATAAGCCTAATTCCTTGATCTCTCACCATAATGGCAGCCTCATGACACAAAATAAGCACACACACATGACCCAGACTCCCAGCACACTACAGTATAAAATCTTGAAATGGGACATTGGTAGAAACACACACTTGTTCAAAGAAAAGAGCCCTGCACAAAATGGAAAATAAGGTAGCTTAATTGACGAAGCCGTGTTGACAAAGAAAAGGCCGAAGCCTCATCGTCCACATCCTGGGATAGCATCAAGCCACACGTCACCTTGAAATCGCTCTTTGACAAGGACTGGACAAGGCAAGCTGATCGATACGACTTGGAGGAGGGCCAAGCTCTGGTGCCGGATGTGCCACCAGCCAAGCATACCAACAGGAATGTCCTGATGAAAGCCATTGAGAATGTCAGAAATCCCTCGCCAAAGTTTAGCGGTGTCGCTGGTAGCAGTGGTAGCAGTGGTGGCAACCAGCATAAGCGATCATGGTGGAGCAACTACATTTGTTGCATGCCGAGAATCAGTTAATCATTTTTTGGACAGAGAGAATTTTTATGTCACTGCACCGAGCTTGAGCCAAAAAGTCAATGAAGGTCAAAAAATACATTGAAATCAATAAAAGTCAAGGAAAGACTGGTTAATAGATATTGTCTTTGTGGTAAGGACAATACCAATAATGGAATCTGCATTTCCAATGACAATAATTTACTCCTCAAATAACTGCTTTCTCCCAGGTTTGGTAAGGCAAGTATGGATTGGGTGACTAAGTTTGCAATTCTTTGCTCATTTCTAGCTCTTTCTGCAGAATCATACACAACAAATTTCTCATCAGATCGCAACACCCTTTCCACAGATGATATTCGCATCATCCTAGAAGCCATGCACGATGCTATCAAGCTCTTCTCTGGCGAGCAGTACTACCCAGTTGGATCCGCTTTCATCGATTTCGTGACCGTCACGAACAACGTTGTGGTCAACTTTATATTCTTTGTGTACGAAGGAGGCCAGGTCCCAGACTACTGCCGAGTAGGTGCTGATGGACAGCATTACATTCGTGGAAGAGTTCTCCAGGCCACCCTTGGGAATATACTCCACTATTGCACAAACCAAATGCTCCTCTATGGAGCTAGCAAGATGTTATCAGTCATGGACGTTGTGGGTATAGACTATGTGATTGCACACACTGACCAAGGTCCCACTCTTGATTTTTTCTATGATTATTCCAATACTTCAGTTGAAACAATGGAGGACTCTTATAAAACATCAATGCATGGTTTACCACGTAGAAGCTGCGTGACTCGGTTCACAACGCTGGACAGTGGCTTTTACAATTTGCTTCCAAAGGGCTATCACTTGACCACATCAAATAATTACTACAGTTTGGGGGTGGAGGACGATTGTAGTGTGGCGGTCAAAGCTGGTGGCAAAGAGATCTGGAGGAATGGCTATCCGCGGCTCAGAGATGTGAAT